GTACAAAATAAATTTTGGAATTTAAATTTGCTATAAAGATATTTCTTTTCTTTTTTGAGCTTGTTAATTGTTATGGAACATTGCTGTACCTTTTTTTGCTCTATATTTCAATAATTTATATTTTGAAACAGGGTAACTTTTTTTTTTGATGCATCTCTTTCTAGGTGCCAATATATATTTTTCAGTAAAGTACAGCAACTGGTGATTGGAAAAAGAAAAAGTATTTTTGTATATTTAATTTATATGATTAATCTGCATAGAATTTTCTGGTTGTTTATGCAAAATAACTTTTTACTTCTGCTGAAACTGAGTAAATTACAATCAAATATTTGAGTTCCTCAATTTTTATCACTTTTTTAGTATCAAATATTATACCAGTTTATTCACAGATGAAAAAGTGTGTAAAAAAAATTGATTTTTTTTTGTCATGTTTTGCTGATTATTCTGTTGAAAATTACCGTGTAGTTTGAATTTTTTTCTTCATTTGGTAGGAGATAACAGATAATGGATTTCCCAGAATGCTCCTAAAATGATAAAATACCTTGATGCGGCAAGGGAAGATGAGGATTTTTAGACAAGAACCTTCCTTGATTTCTACTTTTTGGGCTTAGTTTGTAAGGTGCTTGTGGTCACCCTGAAGAAGAAGAAAAAACCTTGAGTCTGCCTTTTTTTACAGTGGGATATTAACTCTTGTTGACACAATCTTTTGGTATAATTAAAAGAATGGAATTCAGCAAAGCAGCGTAAGATTGTAGGCTAAATCTTCATAGATTGGCAGCAACTTAATTTAATGTGGATGTTTATTTTGAATATTCCCACAGCTAAAAATAAAAAAACTATTATCAACTATCAGTATATATGTAAAAATTAACAGTTTTACCGTGAATTATCTCAGTGGAAGTAAAAATAATAGACTTTGGCAATATACCTTATAGCTGTTCAAAAGTTTTTTTGCAGGTTCGGCATTTTATTTATGGGAAACACAAAAAAAAAAAAAAAACTGTTTTCAACTTTTACTGTCAACTGCCTTTATACTTGCCAGCCAACAATAATCAGCCTTCATACAAGTGGAACATGTTTTGGATGTTCCAATCAAGTTATCATAATAGAATATTAATTCCGGTTTCTGCGTAATGTCGGTAAATTTTATAAAAAATATAGCTGTGTTGTTTTCAGCAGAGTTTATTCATCAATTATTCATGATATACTGGCCTTCATGTTCAGCGACTTAGAAATTAAGATGGCTATTATAGCATCTAAAATAGAAATGAATCTATATAACGACATTCATTAAATTTAGCTTTCATCAAGTTTTTACCCCTCACAACCTTAATTTACACCAGTTAAATGTCACTGAATTTATACATTTTTTTTAAAAATTATTTGTAAGGTGGCATTATTTTGGATGGCATTGCAATTTTTTACCTTTTTATATCAGTGAATGAAAACTTTTTACGTCTTGGATTTTACCTGTTAACTTTTCAACAGCCAAGTTTTATGTTCTAGAAAGAGCCAAAATTATATGATGATTCTTGGACTTGTAGCTCTCTCTGGCTACCCAGGTACTCCAGTTTGACAAAATGAAAGCTCTTCTTTATCGAGCCTTCAGGAACAGGGAATGGCATAAGCAACAGTAGGAAAATTTTAGAGTTGATGTAACAGCATCCGAAACTTTTATTTTGTGTGGACTTAAGCTTCCCAAAATTCTTGCTGCAGCAGCAGCAGTTGAGTGGTTTGGATTTGCCGAAAAAGAATGACTAATTTTCCTGGGAACTGCTTTATTTTTCATTGAAGGTTCATTGATGTAAAGAAAATGCTTACTATTCTAAACGTAAAAATAAAATATTGTTTGGTTATGAATACTAGTTCATAATTTTGGACCTGTTTTCTGTTCAGTTTTACAAAGTGTTTTGTCCGAAAAAGTCGCATTGGCTCTCCAAGGTATTGTACTGCTTCGCATTAATTTACAAACGTATTTAAAGTGTAAAATTGTTGAAAAATCACGGTCAAAAAGCCGTGTAGCTTTGTGGTTTTCTTGAGAGGTTTCTCAGTGCAGAATCGCTACATTTGCAAGAAGCAGTAAACTGCGGCATAGGCAAAGAATTTCAGCGAAATTTTCATTACTTTTATTTTTCTTCTCATAACTCAGTTGTGCATCAGTATACCATTTCCAAATATATTACACTCTACGGTGAAAAAGAATTAATCTAAATATTCAGCTTAAAATTAGGAAACTTGTCAATTTTTGTTTTGTTAATTCACCTGTATTTTCTTCAGTGGACTATGAGAAGATATTGATATGTTAGAGATTTCTTGAAAGAAGAAGTAAAATTTCTAAAATGATTTTGAATGTATTTAATGCTATAGAAAGTGAGGCAATTTACATATTTTTAAATAAAGCTTGTTTTTCAAAGGATTAGGCTCTTCTGTGGCTTTAGAAAGGTGCCAGTAATTGATAAGAAAAGTTAATGGAAAGATATTTTACTTGCCTTAATGTACAAGAGCGAAAACTCTACTCTCTGATAGAGTGCGAAAAAATTCAAGACTTTGACTGAAAAAGTGGTCTAATTCACACGAAACGGGTAATAGGTATATAGGTATATTTCATAGTTAATTTCTAACGAAACACTTAAGGCCTTTAAGCAATGGCAGAAAAATAAAGTTAACACGAGTTTTGCAGGGAATGATCTCCTCCCTTCTGCAGTACTTTGAATGTAGAGACCAGTTACGTTTGGAGCACTCCCGTGTATGGATTACGTTCCTGAATTTTGTTTCCGACCTTTATGCCAGTGTTGGATACGTCTATGAAGGTGCACATGGAAATTTTTGCCACTTGATCTGTAAACTCAAATTGTTGATATGACATTCAAATTTGTGGTATTTGTTCAACCAAAAAAATTATCCGCTCTACATGGGTAATTTGATCACTTTTTTACAGGAGAACTTGTGAATCTGATCTTCCGTCTGTTCGACTATATCCTTAAAGCACCAGTACTAGAAGATGTCAAAATAGAAGAGGTGAGTGCATTTATCAATGATCCACTGATTCTTTTTAAAATGGTGGCTCTTTTTACATAAAGCTGAGTGAAGAAAATTGCAAAAACATTTAATATCTAAATCTTCAGGGTGGCCAACATTACTGTTACTAAATAATTAGTCAAATATCAAAAACCCCGTAGAAATTGTGCCTTACGTTTTCAAATATTCTATTTTTACTCATAAACTGAAATTTATCGTAAAAATTACTGCTTATTTCCTGCTTAAAAAAAAGATTTTTATTTTTTTACATTCAATTAATGAGGTTAAAAGCCTGATGTTGATGTCACGGTTATGAACATCAGTCAGATGTAACGCGAGTCAGCTTTGGCGGCAGTAGAATAGGAATAGCTGATGATCGTTGTTATTTGACTTAAGCTATTCTGGCAGGAACTGTGCCCTTCAAAAAACGAGTTTCCTTAGTACACAACCCCAATAAAAAAATTTTTTAAAAAAAACCTCAATAACATTAACTCAGAATTAGACTATGATAGTCAGGTCTTAGCATTTATTGATAAGGATGTGAGAGTTTCTGTGCCACCCTACGTAACCATCTTCATGAAATCTCAAGTAAAATAACGAAATTGTGCTTTGAGCATCACAAGGTTTTAAATTATTGGTATCAGAGGAAATCTGAGTTAGGCGTCAACTGATCGTGGTTACGGATCAGGTTACACTGCAGATTAAGTTCAACTTTGATCTTTTAAGGCTATAGCGTTTTATGCCAGCGCGCTTTTCTGCCTTCTTAAGAAACTCTTGGGCATTTTATAGTCTGGTTAGCGTTACTTACATTCTTTAAAAGCAACATTGCTTTAGTGTTAGACAGTGTAGCGATCCAGCCCTATATGTAACATTAAAATTAAATGCTACTGTAAATTCTTTTTGCTCATCCATCATGGTTTAGCTGGAAAGCCTTATAGCGTGCTTGCTTAGCGTTGGTTATGATTTGGAGAGGCAATGTCCCGAGCAGCTTGCAATCCTAAAGGATCTTATCAGGGACGCCTTTATTGAGGTATTTTTAAGCTTGTCAGGCAAAAGTTTGAGTAAATTTTAAAGCAGTCAAAATAAAAAACAATAAAAAGACATTTTTTTTCAATATTTTAAAAAGGCACTTTGTTGGCATGTTATCGACCACTTCCTATTTTAGGTCCAAGAGCCTTGGCAGCGGAAAATGATTCTGTTGCTGATGGAGTTAGGGGCTAGCAGCTGGAAATTACCTACAGAAGCTAACGAGTACTACTTCCAAAATACAAGTCATTAGTAGGTGTAAACTGTTGATCATACAAAGTAGAATATTGAGTTGTTGAACAAATTTTTTTTTTTGTTGTCATCGTTTTCCGCTCGAGCCAAATCAAAAAGAAAAGCATCTTTCTGACAGCTTTGAAATAGCAGAAAAAAGCATAGAGCAAACAAAATATCATAATTTATAGTCTGTACGACTTAGATGAATTACTGTTTATGAAACCTTGCTCAATGTGTCTTTTGCCTTGTTATCCATTCATCAATTCATTCATTTATATATCCATCGCTCATGTAATATTATGGCATAGTAAGCAACACAGTGATTTACTGCACACTTATGATTGCATAATAAGCTTCACAATTAGAGATTTCATTATTTAGTTATTTATTGAAGTAATGTTATTGTTGGCTTTTGTTAAAAAGCAAAAATTTCTTCTCAACCTTTCCAGCTCGTTCTTTCTCTCCTCTATTTTTTTTTTCACTACTGAAGTTGGAGTTTTTTTGTTTTCATTTTACAACTTTTAGTTTAAAAATAAACAACAAAAAAAAAA